GAGAGAGAGAGAGAGAGAGAGAGAGAGAGAGAGAGAGAGAGAGAGAGAGAAATATTCATAAAGATTGCGACCGGTGAAGGCTAATTCAGACGCTGATGTCAGGAAAATGCTGAAGGCCAACACCGCGTGCAGTTAGTTTTGGGGCTGTTCCGGTAGTTGGTGAGGAGGTGGGGTGTGATACGATGTGGAAAAAAAAAAGGGGGGGGGGGTATTAAGCCTCTAGAAAAAAGAGAGAGAGAGAGAGAGAGAGAGAGAGAGAGAGAGAGAGAGAGAGAGAGAGAGAGAGAGGTGTTATTGTGGGATAAGCAAAGAGATCCATAACGCCCTTGCAGAAATAAACATAACGTCATTTTGGAATTATGATTTCAGATCGTGAATATGATTTATGTCAGCTGGATGTTTCGCGCCAACATGCACAAGCATATGTACACTATCAGGCGTACACGTACACACATGAGCACAGGCGCTCCCCATGTGGGTTCTGTTGTCCTACTGGGGGGGGGGGGATTAGACCCACTGCCCCCAGCCCACCGCCCCTAACAAGCATGCCGTATAAAAGTCGACTAATTGGGTGTGTTTCTTTCGATGTCGAGTGCTTCTGTCTGGGAGTCTAGATGCCAACAGTCTGCGTACGAATAAGCCAGATCTGTAAAACGGATATGCCCGCAAAACTTATGTCCTGGAACAAGACTGAACGTCAAAAGCGGACGAATAACCAGATTTTTTTCCGCCGAGGTTTAGAATGAGAAGAGGAAAAGAAGGGATAAAAAACAGCAAAAGAAAAAGAAGAAGAAACGAAGAACAAGCAGAAGCAGAAGAAAAGAGGAAGGAGAAGAAGAAGAAAAAAAAGAGAGGAAGAAGGAGAAAAGAGGAAGCAGAAGAGGAAGATGGAGAACAGAGGAAGGAGCAGCAGATGAAACAGAAGAAGAAGAAGATAAAGAAAGATAAGGAAGGAGGAGAGGAAGAAAATGGAGAAAAGATGAAGCAGGAGAAGAAGAAGAAGAAGAAACGAGGAAGGAGAAGAAAGAGAAACGAGGAGAAAGAAGAAGAAAGATAAACGAGGAGAAAGAAGAAGAAGAAATGAGGAGGAAGAAGGAGAAGAAGAAAAAAGGGAGAAAAAGAGGAAGAAGAAAATACGTAGAAGAAGAAAAGAACGAGAAGAATAACCACAGACAGACACATGGACACACAACGTTTGTTGCTGTAGGTAATGAGATAATCTGTAAGTTAAACTTTGGCACATGATCGCGTTAACGTCAGCCTCCTGGAGCATCTGCATTTAAAACTATCTCTGGACATTATAGGCGACAGCAGAGTGTGATCGGGCCAGTTGCGTTTATCGTTGCCTTCCCATGTGAGATCATTTCCATGAACTTTGAAAATTATCTGGTTCATGTATTTCTTTTTCAATATTTTTGCCAGGCCTTAGCTGGCAAGTAAGCAGAATTAGAATGAGAGACACACACATCTGTGAATATGTTACATTGTTTCACGGTCTTGTTTTGTGATGCATTCTTAAGGCGTGATGGAAAAAAAGTAACATTATCCCTTCGTCTTCTTTTTTTTCCCCGTTCACCAGCTGTACACTCTGGCGGAAATTTCTGGTTGTTCGTTCACTTCTGGACTGCAGTCCTGCTCCAGAACCTGAGTGTTGCGTGTGCATCTGTTTTACATATCTGATTCACTTGAATGCAGACTGTTGGTTCCTTGGCTCTCAGGCATATTCACTCCGACTTCAAAGGAAGCTCCCAATTAGTCAACTCTAACGACATGCTTTTGGGTAGGCAGTGGGTCTATTCTTGTTTTCCCCACAATGGGACCCCGCAAACCACACGGGGAGGATAACATTATCCCGAAACCAAAGCCGAATAGCTAAGCTGCAGTTACCATTATCCTCAGCGTAACTTGGGGTGATGATGCCAAACTGCCAACTGTCTATCTGTCCGTCCCAACAGACTGACCGGTTTTTTCCCAAACTGCCCAATAACGCGCGTATTTGGCAGGAATGGAGCAAGCGCCATCTTTGATGTTTGTTTGCTTCCTATTTTGCAAACTTGGTAGTGCAGATTGTGTTTGTTTTGAAAGTGTATTTAAAATCAGCAGTGATTTTGGTGCCGACCTAATGCGAACAGGAAGACAATGCAGTAACATGCTTTTAGGGAGGTTTAAAAAATGGACATCCAGTCTGTAAGAACTAAACAAAATCTGGCCAGAGGTAACTAGCAACGTTTGTTTCTATCTTCTACAGGTGCACCTCTACTTCAGCAGTCTTCCTGAAGACAGGGTGCCCTATCTGAACAGCATAGGAGAGAAGAACCGCATTCGTCAGCTTCTCCAGCAACTACCTCCTCACGACAATGAAGTTCGGTACTGCCACGCGCTGTCAGAGGAGGAGCGCCATGAGTTGCGCATGTTTAGTGCCCAGCGGAAAAGAGATGCGCTGGGACGGGGCAGCGTCCGCTTGATACCTCAGGATTCAAAGCCAGTCAAGTGTTACCAGGTATGGACCGTTTATAGTGTGAGATTCAATGAGCCATATCCCTATGTATTTCAATTTTTGATTATGTCCATTTTAGCGTGAGAACGAACGAACGAACGAACAAACTTTATTTTTAAAGGGTTAAGAATTGGGCACGCAGGCCCGTCTAACATTCTGCCCTTCGAGGTCTCCCTCCATTCTTACATCATTTCATTCACACATCAAGTAATATTAAAAGTTAGCAATAGCATCAAAATAATCAATACAAGCACTGGAATCTGCACATTTCTAACTACAGTAAAACGTATTAGTTGTAACAAATCTAAGAAAAATGAGCGCTATTTTTCACATATGTTTTATCTTCTATGGGGGCATATAATCGGTGCTCAGATAATATTTGAACAGTTTCCGATTGTATGTATATGGACTAGTGGTACTTTTGATTTGCTGTGGTAGATAGTTCCACAATTGAGCTGCGGAATATGACAGACTTGTTTTATAAAGGTCTATCCTAGGTTTAGGGATGTGTAATATGTTTGGACGCTTACTATGCCGTTCATTATATTTGAACAACGGCCATAAGTAACATGTAGCCTTTTGAGATAATATTTTGTAAGTATATTTTGCCTTATGGAAAAGTAGACGTTCACGAAGCGGTAGTAGTCTAAGACCTTTATATGTTTCGGAGCTCACTGTTCCATGATTGTTACTAATTAAGCGAATGGCGCGCTTTTACAGTGATGTGAGTCGCTTGATAACAGAGCTGGAACAGCCATCCCATATTGTAGAGCAATAGTCTACATGTGTCTGGATGTGAGAAATATAGAATATCTTTCTTGTGTGTTCATCAAGAAAGTTTTTAATTTTTGCAAGCTGGTAAACCTTTTTAGCTGTTTGCTTCACAAGTGTTTGTACGTGTAAGTTGAATGTTAGATTTGCATCAATTACCAACCCCAGTGTCTTGTGCTCAGTTACATTTTCTACTGAGAGATTCAGTGAGCCATGTCCCTGTGTATTTCCATTTCTGATTATGTCCATTATAGGGTGAGAGGTTCAATGAGCCATATTCCTGTGTTTTTCAATTTCTGATTATGTCCATTATAGCGTGAGAGATTCAGTGAGCCATGTCCCTGCGTATTTCAATTTCTGATTATGTCCATTATAGGGTGAGAGGTTCAATGAGCCATATTCCTGTGTTTTTCAATTTCTGATTATGTCCATTATAGTGTGAAAGATTCAGTGAGCCATGTCCCTGTGTATTTCCATTTCTGATTATGCCCATTATAGTGTGAAAGATTCAGTGAGCCATGTCCCTGTGTATTTCCATTTCTGATTATGCCCATTATAGTGTGAAAGATTCAGTGAGCAATGCCCCGGTGTATTTCACTTTTTGATTATGTCCTATTATAATGTGAGAGATTCAGTAAGCCATGTCCGTTTGAAGAAGGAGAAGAAGGGGAGGATGAGGACAAAGAAGAAGAAGAAGAAGAAGAAGAAACAGCTATGCTAGAAATGTCTCACATGAAACCTCTGTAAAACAACGTGTTTCTCTCAGTCCGTGCAGAGACGGCATTGGCAGTTCTGCATGTCGGCAGTCTTTATCGTCTGTGTACTGCAAGTTAAAAAAAAAGTCACTAAAGTTTAAATAATGGAATGGTATATACCTGGGAAGAGAGGGAAAGAAAGACCAAAGAGAAGATGGGTACATGATGTGGAGGATCATCTCCAGATGGGTGTATCGACATGTTGCTTGTGTTCGAGTTTTCCGAAGGGTTGTAGTTTTCTGAAGGGTTGTTATGGGAGCAGGGTTCTTTCTGCAAGGGACATGCTTACTGACTGACTACCAGTAATCTTTCATACGTTAGTTCTTTAATGTCAGACATCGATACGAAAACATTTGTTGTATGTACACAATCTCTACCAAGGCCATACATATGTCAAGTACAAAACATCTCATCAGCATCATCATCAAGTGCCTTGCCGACTGGTATGAGCGATCATGCCTCTCCACAATCTGCGATCCGCAACTGCGTGTATCAGTTCGTGTGTTGACACCCCCTCCATGCCATGACAAATGGCTGGCAAGCATCTTCTCGCGCTGTCTCCCTCTGTCTCTCTTTCCACTGATCTTTTCATTGGTCACAACATGGTCCATTGTTCTTTTTCTCATAACATGACCAAACAATTTCACATTAGAAACACAAACTAGCCATTTAAAAATATTTGAAAGCAAATAAAAAAATCATAAAGAAATCATTCGCCAGAATCAATACAAAACCTAATGCAGTCAGTCGTGTGTGCCCAGAACATGAAACGAGCTCAGTCCGCCTGTAATGAAGCCAAACACTGACCAAAAAAAAACCGCTCCGCAATCGCGGGATGCATGCCTGCAAATTGCAGACAACGTTTCCCTCCCCCAGTACAGCAGAAACAAGGGCGGTAAATTATTCTCCAACCTACTTTCCGCTCTTCGAGCTTCGGGTGCATTTTCTTGTATTGTTCATATTGAAATGAACATAAATGAATGTTGCAGCGTGATTTGCAACATGCAGCAACGTCTGATCTACTTGTGTGGTCCATATTAGAATATGATTTGCAGCATGTAGCCATGTCTGATCTACTTGTCTGATTCATATTAGAATATGATTTGCAACATATACCCAGGTCTGATCTACTTGTGTGGTTCATATTAGAATATGATTTGCAACATATAGCCATGTCTGATCTACTTGTGTGGTTCATATTAGAATATGATTTGCAACATGTAGCCACGTCTGATCTACTTGTCTGATTCATATTAGAATATGATTTGCAACATATAGCCATGTCTGATCTACTTGTGTGGTTCATATTAGAATATGATTTGCAACATGTAGCCACGTCTGATCTACTTGAATGCTTGCAAAGGGCCGCATGTTTGACATACTTGCCTTAAAGCAGCGGTTCTCAGCCTGTGGATCGCGACTCCTCGATTCACTTAAGTAATTAATGAAGTAGCAACGAAAATAATTGCATGGTTAGGGATCACCACAACATGAGGAACCCTATCAAAGGGTCGCCTCATAAGGATGGTTAAGAACCACAGCTCTGGAGGATAAACACAAGAATAAACCCCAGACCTCAACAGCTCTGAGCGAGAGTCCTCCAGCCCACCACAAAACACTACTTCTGTGAGGGATTAACCTCCCTGCTCATCATATACCTTGATAACTTTTCTGTATTGTGGCTCGTCGAGTTGTCTTTCACTACCACGATGAGTTTCCTATGACGAGTGTTTCTGTTCCGACACAGCAGCTCACAACAATGACAAACGAACGCGCGCTCTCGCCAAATTGAAAATACCGATTTACTGTGTGATTGATTCCTAGCTAATGAACATTCTTGCACTGTTTGTTGAGCTGGGCGAGAGCACCTGAAACTTCGCAGATCCAGGTGATCGGTGCGTGTTTGGGAGCAGCAGGCTCGTTTGAAATCGTTCCACGTGGGGGGGAATAAGTTGTTTCACTATTATAACGTGAAATGTATGAGTTAAAACGTATTTGAGGTTTGGGATTTGAACAACGGATCAGCATCATGACACACGGGTAGCAACCCATAAGTGCAACCTTTCTTCTTCTAACTCGAGTCTGAGTCCGAAGCTCAGCACAGTGCACAGGCTTTGTAGCACCGGCGAGGATCCTGAAATACTTTGGGTAGATTTTTTAACTTCAATTTTTTTTTTTCGATCCCCAACTACCAATGGATTTTTCACGTGCGTAACAATGCACACGGTTGTCCGATCTTACTACCCAGAGACCCGCAACCTCTAGCACTCGAGGCGGACACCAAATCTCGAGACCACGCAGCCCCAAACTCAGGGAAAAGGGGGGGGGGGGGTCCTAATACTCGAAAAAGTAAGATACTTTTGCGCTCGCTGTTGAAAGGGTTGTTAGCACAATGTGTTGTGGTTTACAGCTAGGCTGTTATATCTGCACCTTCTAGCTCAAGACATCAGATATCAGAACTCCCTCCACTAAATTAGTCACCTTTTACGACATGCTTATTGCCTGTGTGGGGACTGTGGACCAGGATACCTTGTCCCTTTTTATTGTTTTGTCCAGAAAGGCTCCAGCCAAATCGTCCGATTGTTCACTTTGTCTCTCCCCCCCCCCCCCCCCCTTTTCCCCAAGCCCTTTTCTCGCTAAACTCATGTGTATATATAAAATGTAGTTCCAGTAGTAGTAGTAAATTTCACCCCACCAAGACATCACACAAGCGATAAACATCCGATGACACAAAGTGCCACCAGGGCCTCAAATAACGAAAAGAATGCATTCTACAAGAAGATTATAACTATTTAGTTCCAAATTTTGTTTAGGCTTTTAAAGGCTGCCAATGGGGTCATAATTTCTTTCTATAGACTCATTAAATTCTCCACTATATGAGAACAAATCGAAGGGCAGCATCCTTGAATTCTGCACGCAGAACGCGGGATTAGACCGGAAACCAAACGAAAAGAAAAGCCGTTGATTGTTAATCTTTATAAAGGAAAGCACCAGAATGGGAGGGTAGCGGGAAGTTCTGGCGATGGCCGGATATGTTTGTTGTTTTCGGGTAAGATCAAATGACAATAATAACAAAGCTAACAGAAGGTTGAGAAGCCTAACGATCAGTGTCAGCCAAGTTTTATCAGCAGGCAGTGGCATCTGGCGGGAAACTCGTTCGGCGGGAAGTCCGGAGATGGCGGGTTGGGGTTAAAGGCAGACTAGCAGCTGGGAAAACGTTACTGATCTTGTATCTGCTAGGTCAGATTTTATGATGTGGCGAGACCTTTCTTCATCCTTGTTGGCTTTGGTCTGGCTAACTTAGAGCAGAGCAAAGTTAATGGGGTTTACAGCTTGTGTCTGATATTGAGCCTTCAGTGATTGACAGACTTGATATAGGCACCGCCTTCTCTAGATAGTTCTAGGAGGTTGTGATAGAGGTACGGAGTTAGTGAAGAAAGCAAGCTTTTCCTCATCGCGGGCATATCAGAGTTAGCA